TTTAATCCACCATATGCTTCCCTTGATTCCTAAATTGCTCTTCAGTTCTCTTTCTCATCCTTCAAAGGGAACCTCAGCTGATAAAGGAAGTGCCAGGAACATATGGGTTTAGGCTGAAAGGGCTCATACAAGTTGTGACAGATTCACTTCTCTGAGCATTAATCCACTTTAATCCAATTGGATCACATACCAAACTAGCAAAATCCTTGAGGCTTTGACAGCACCAGTTCTGTTAATATTTAAAGGTTAACAAATTCAGTAGATCCTGCGCTACTTGTATCTGCATTGAGAGCTTCGACTGAGAATCTGTAAAATGAGTTAATGAAGTAGAGACCACACACTGATAATACTGTTTTTTTTTCCAATAGGATGTAGAGCCCCAAAATCTTGCATCAGAATGCAAGTGCCACAAGATTATCATGCTTCAATAATCCAGTCATTTCAAGGATATCAAAGTAAGAGAAAAATACGAGAAGATATAAGGTGTGCAATTTTGATACAACTTCCTCACTGCTTGAGGAAGCCAAGTGTCCCTAAATCTCTAAATGCCTCATGCAGGCACAGCAAATCAATGATCTGGGGTGGGAGATGACAATCTCCGAGACCCGAGAGGATGGGGGAAAGATGCTGAGAGCTATAAAAAAAGCTGTCAAGTGTATCATCTTGCTGTAGCGCTCCTCGAGCACTTGCAGCTGTTAAATACTGAGAAGGAGAAACAGCTTAACATCCACGTGTAGCCCTCAGAGGGGATCTTACAGAGCAATGAGATTTTTAAAAAGCTGATGAAAACTTGAAGGACACCAAAACGAGATGAGATACTAAGAAAAAATACCCAACAAATAAAATTCTAAAATATTTAAAAACATATATAAAAACCTATGTATAAAAGCCTTCCTCAAAGGCTCCGAAGTAAAAATGATGCTTACGCACGTACATGACATTTGTACCCAATTCAATAAACTGATGTTGTGACTGACGCACTCTGCACTCAAATGCAATAGAAAACCAAGGTCTTGACCAGCTGCAGTCTTGAAAGATATTAGGGCTCTCAGGAAGAGCAGATGTTAATCTGTGTTCCGGCTGACTCCATCCAGGCCATTTCCCTTAGCTTCCAATTTTCATGGGCAAAAGTATGCTGACTCACTCCGAGCCTGCACAGTATAATACAGTACAGTGCAGGAAACAGGTTTATTCCAGAAGATGCTGCAGTGACGGACTCAAAATAAATGAAAGGACTTCCGGATGTAATAAAAATAAATGACAGGACTTCAGGATCAAAGGCCTGATGTAGAATGTTAAAACATTTTCTATCCCAAGGTCATCCATACAAAACCTGTTATGGATTCTGTAACAACAGAAGCAGTTGCTTCATTGAAATTAATTTATTTTGAGAATATCCCTTTTAATCCTCCATGCATTTTTTAGCACAAAAAGTTGGATTTTATCACAACCTCCTTCATAAAACCTAATATTGTATGTCTGGTAATGTGGCTGTTTCAACAATTCCTCATTGGAAACCCCACACCTGTGAAACCTTGGCGACACTGCCAGTAAGTGACCTACACAAAGTTTAATAGAAAAATTTTACTGAATATCCTCTGTTTAATGTAAACAAGGCAGGAGGCAAAACAAGGAGTATATATTTAATATAGTTACACTATTTTACAGGGCACAGAAAGTATTGAGGATCATGGTTTGAAAACCCTGTACGATACGCAATATCAGATACGGATTTTCCATGTAGACCCAAGTCTACTCCATAATCCTTTGATTTTACCTAGCACTTCGGTTTAGTATTTCTTTTAGCAAGACAAAGAGCAATAATAAATGTCATCCATGAAATTACATAGCAGGTTATGGTAGAAATTACCATGCATTTACAAAGCCATTCCATGATTACTTGTGCCCTGTAAAATCAAGTGCGACAATCTTTACACTAATCGTAGTGTAAGCAAGCTCGGGATTCTGGTCCTTATATATATATATATATAGTATATATGTACATAGGTGATGTACAACTAGACTCAAGCTGTGTATCAAATCACAGCTTTTATATTGCACAGACAAATACATAGTAAGAACATTACACAGACAGGATCTGAATACCAGGAACGTTACAGTCGTATGAGAAACTAAGGACAAACTTGTTCTACCAGAGCTAGCACACGGCTTATTACAAAATTTTCTATATCGAAGTCTAAATCAAATACATACTATAAATGGAAAAAAGTAAAAAATGTGTCTATTTACACACATGTGCATCAGGGTTAAAATGTGGTTTGGATCTGCTTTTTGAAATCAAAAATTATTCTAGTATTACCTCTCGAGTATTTCAATCTAATACCAGAGGCTCTATTTTCTAAGGTGATCAGCACTTGCATTTCCCACTGACATCTGGAGGATCTGCATATGCTGTGAACGTCAGGCCATATATTTTCTCAGGTGTCCATCTCTGGGTAATAAATAACCACATACAAACACACGCACACAGAGACAAAATGGGCACCTCAATGACATGCATAGCTTGGAAAGGTGAAAACATGGACCTGAACTAACTTCTAACTTTTAAAAAAAAAAAAAAAAGTGCATGAAAAATATCACCACAAAAAATAATTAAACGAGTTCCATCTCTTCAGGAAGATTAAATCACTTTTACAAAAATAAAGGTCATTGTCATCATGCATGGTAATTAAGGGTTTGTAGGCAGCACTCACAAAAGCACTTTAGGCTAAAGCAACTTTAAGGATTGCTTCACTTCTATCAGGATGGATCCATGTTTTATAAATTTATCAACTAAATAACATTTGGTTTGCAAGAACATCACCAATGTTGCTGGAGACCGAACAATTATATCCTGAATTTAAGAGTGCTTATAGTTATATCTACTTATTTTTCTCACGGGCAAGCATGAAGGAATTGTGTTTGCAGCTCAGTAGAGTGTTTTGCATTAAAATGCCACAGAGGTTGCAGCAGTCCTTCCAGAAGCTGACTGATACAATTCCTTACAGTGTAATGAGCTCAGGTATCAGTGGAAACAACAACAACAACAACAAAAGAGGTGATGTTAATGCTTTCATTTGAGATCAGGCATCTCTTGAATGGCTTTATAAATTGTTCTATTACTTGCAATGCTCTTGCAAGTTTTGTTTAACACTTCTCTCACTTTCAGTTATAGTAGCATTATCACTTCCAGTTTCCACTGAAATTGGGACATTAGAAGTATTCTGGAACATACACTTAAAAAAATAAATAATGAAAATAGAAAATTTGAGGAAAAAGTAATTAAGCTCAAGCAAAACCAACAAAGACCCAAATTCAGTAAAGCATCAGCATTTGTGCTCAACAGCTTAACTTTGTTCATGTAAGAGACTGTGATTTAGGAATAAAATTCTTGAAATTAAGCTTATCTTTAACGGCTTTGCTGAATTCGGACCTTATTTATAACAAATGTATGTATTAAACATCACTCTGCATAGACATTTACATGTTCTAAACTTTGCGTCAGGTATGTTGTATTAATGAAGCTTCTAATATGGACTGACTGCAATACGTATCACTAAAAATTATTTGCTACTTTCAAGGTATGTTTCTAAAGAACAAAAATGAAAGAAGTGTCATTTTTTTAAACTTTATCCTACTATGCTACTTTGACCTGAAAACCCTTTGGGACTAAGTTCAGCAAAAAAAAGGAGGTGAGGAAGTAAAACATGCTTTTGTTTGCCAGATGAATGCAATGTTCTTTACAAAAGCCTCCCAGTATAGGCAGCCACTGAATACAGGTTTTACCTGCCAAAATGTTCCCCCAGTTCCAGAACTGCTCTCTCCAGCTGAACCTGTACTGGAAGCTTTTACAGCAAGACCCTCTTCACTGTTGTGACAAGAATAAATTTAGGCCATTAACTGTGACACTGTTCTAATTAACCTGCTAACTTAAAAGGTCTTTCAACATCAGGGTCCACAAATATTAAAAAACAAGACCTCAAAGGCATGGATTCAGAGCAGAATCTGATTCTAGGTACAGTCATGTAAACCCAGGAAAATTCTAGTGACTGAGTAAATTAGTCCATATTTGTGTATGAACAATCACATCTGAAATGGGCATTAGCTGTGCAAACAGGATAGTAGGAAAGAAAGAAAGAAATACAATGTAAACACAAGGAGCTAAATTCTACCTTGCCTGCCTGTGCTATGATGCTCACAGGAGGGGAAAGAGGTACTACACACCTGTGCGCAGAGCAGGACAGGTCTCTCATCCAAGTCACTCAGTGTGACTTGAAGGTTAAAGCACAGCCACCCGAACCTGCCAGTGCGTAGGTGGCTGCTCGCGCAGGCTGCCATCAGGCTAGAGAAACAGAAGCACAGCATGCTGAAGTGCGAATGGCCCGCCACTTGCAATGCAAATGCCTGCCCTATTGAAAAAGATTCACTGAGAGACATTTCTGCATCCCGGCACCATGAAAAGCAGGCGTAAAGTTTGGTCCTATATAAGGTAACAACACTTTAACTGCCCAGTCAATCTTTTGCTGGGCACTACTGCTATGGTTAGATAAGCAATAGAAACATTTCTAAAAATGACAGAATGTTTATGCTGCTAATTTTCAAGGCACAAAAGATTCTTAAACCAATTCAGGCTAAATACCAATTTAAAAGAAATTAAAAATACTGTTTCAGCAACAACTACTAATGACCTATAATTAACTTCCCTGTAAAGGTGACATGAGTCAAGCAACTAGAGTTCACATGCAAAAACCTGAAGTAAATCTAGTTATACAGATAACCTGAAGAGCAATCACTTGGAATGACAGAGACAAACATGCTAGAAACATGTACACTTCAGATATATTTGTTATGGATGTGATGCTGAATCAGGATTAATTCAATTAGTAATGATTTTATACTGATATATCTCTTGGAGTAATCCACTGGGGAATCAAGCTCAGAACTGTCTTTAGGATTCACCAAAATAAAAATGATCCCTCATTAATATTTCCCACTGTATATGGATTGGTGGAGTTTTTGAACCTCTCTTCATTTTTAATAATATACGTTGCAACTATAGTTGTGATTTCCTTTCACGTATCCAACCAAAAAGAAAAAGAATTAAGACATAAAAATGTTATAAAATGAATTTGCTTATTAAAAGTAATATGGTCACAAAAAGCGAATTGGCGCATGTGAGCCCCAGGACACATGAAAGACCCAACTCTCTCAACATTGTCATTATAACAGAATAACCATGGTCTGATGTCTGTGGCTCTTCATGCAGCTTTTGCAGCTCTTCACACAGTGGCTAGAAATGCTATGTATTGGTTTCTCCCAAAATGCCTCCAATCATATTCTAGGTCCATTTGAATCCCTCTCTCTTGCAATGTCAACGTCTGGTGAAAGTAACTTGTCTTCCAATTCTGCCAAATGTCAACTGACACTTTGCCAGGAGGCACCCCCTCTTCTTATCTGGGTGTTGTCAATAGTCTTTTCGACTGAAAGAGGCTAGGGGGTTTTACAGCCTGGCTACTCATCAAGGCTGCTTATGGTGTAGATGAGGCATGATACTTCACAAATGCAATTGCTGCCAGCTCTTTGCAGAATTCTTCCAGCACAATCACGCCCTCTAGTAATGTCATGTGGTCAATGCTGAGAAAGAGAAAAAAAGCCAGCAGAGAATCAGGACTGGCACACACAAAAACCAGCAGTGGGTTTGGAGAATATGCAATGTATTTACTCACATGGGCCCTTCTGGCTCCAAGCCCAGCAGGCGTTTTCTGACCAGCAGAAGTTTGGGAGTGAAATCTGGGATGCGCTGGATTCTAACCATGAGGTCCCCAACGACCTGTAAAGCACAATGCCATCAACACACAAAATTAACACCTTTGCAGAGCGCCTGGCAGCAAGGTTAAATGACAGCCTTCAGTGCCCAGAATGCAGACCCACTTCAGCATCCTCACAGGCCCACAAAATAACATGCAGAGTACCTGCTCTGCCCCCCAAAAGGATGAGTGGGCGCAGAAAGTAAAGAGATACAAAAGGACAGGAACTCTTGAGCCTTACTCGCTGTTGCCACAAACGGCATTACTTAATTATGTCAATGATTAATTTGTCTTAGTAAATGTTGACACAGGCAATTGACCAGTAAATTCCTGGGTTTAGGGAAAGCACAAGAGGA